GACAATAACAATCGCAGACAATAACAATCACAACACAGCGATGAAGGCCACACTAATACACAGGCGGTGGACAAAATCGTGAAGTGAAAGTTTAATAATGAAGGAAGTGAATCAAGAATGAAAGGAAATTGTGAAAGAAGAGGTTAATGGAGGAGAGGGATAGGGGGTGGAGGAGGGGGAAGGGGGTGGCGGAGGGGAAAGTGGTGGGGTAGGGTAGGTTAGGTGGAGAGGGTGTAGGGGGTGGAGGAGGGGGTAGGGTAGGTGGAGAGGGGGTGGAGGAGAGGAGGGGGAGGTGGAGAGGGGTAGGGGGTGGAGGAGGGGAGGGGGAGGTGGAGAAGGGGCTGATAATGATGGGAATTATTAATGAATGGAAGGAAATGTGGTGTGAGGTGATGACACAACACCTTAACCTAACCTAACCTAACCTAACCTAACCTAAGCTTAACTTAACCTAACCCCACCCCACGTAACGCTAAGGTGGTTAATCTTCAGGTGTTCCAATTAAGTGTTTGTAAAGGCTTTGTTATTAGGTGATAGAAAGGTAATGTATTTTATATTCCGTTGTATGTCAGTATATTGTATGATGTATGTTAAGGGGTACTGTATGACACCTTGTTGTATTACGTATGCTGTAGTTACTGTATTTCTCATTTGTCATAGTATTAATTATTTTAGCTTATTGTATTAGATGTTTTTAAGTGTACTGTATTTGTATCCATCGCTGTATTTTTTAGTATGATAGAGTATTGTATTTGTGACTGTATTCTGTATGGTAAGGTGTTGTATTATAGGTATGTTGAGTGTATTAGTGTTGTATTGCGTTGTGTGTGGCGGTGGGCTTGACTGCGTAGCTTAAGGTGAAGTAAATTAACTATGTTGACCTTTGTGTGTGTGTGTGTGTGTGTGTGTGTGTGTGTGTTTCCTGGTAGCCGCGCCCCTTTGTGTGTATACCCCTGATCGGCTGCTCCTGTGTACGCACGAGGACACACACACACACACACACACACACACACACAGAGGCACGCTGGACTCAAGAATTTAAATTATTTATATATACAAACACACAATAGAAAAAACGTCTTATTTATACAGTATTTACATTGTTTTATCCTTACCTCCCTCACCACACCTCCCTCACCACACCTCCCTCACCACACCTCCCTCACCTCACCTCCCCCTCACTGCCAACAACCTTATCGAGAACAACCAACAGTAAATATCCCTCCTCCCCACCCCACCCCCCTCACACCCGCCACACCCCCTACACCCCCTACCACACCACACCCTCCACACCTGTGATTATAATACTTACGACTGACTCCTTCCGCGCGTGGCCACTCTTGAGGTGATCTTATAATTGCGTGGTCCAGATCGAGCGTCAGCCGGGGAGAATGACACACACACACACACACACACACACACATATACTTCTGCAGGTGACGAGAGTTTGGGTTTTAATTGCTGGAGTTCATGGTGTTGTGGTGTCCGGTAGTGGCGTGGTGGTGTTAGTGGGAGGGTTTGGTGGTGTTGATGGCGTTAGTGGGAGGGCGTGGTGGTAGTCCAGAGGCTATCATCAGGCTTTAACAACAGACGCCAATAAAGCCGATGAAGTAAACAATCTTGCGACACTAACGAGGGATACAACCTAACTACCTAATTACCTTGTTCAGAAGTACCTGGGCTAACAAGACGCTGTCAGCCACAATAAACGCATGAGGTGAGTTGTTGTTGACGTGATCAGCATGAGAGAGGAAGACCGGGTTGGTTAGGTGTGGTGCCCATCTTCAACACTGTACCACAAGCTTATGAACTACCGCCCGCCACCCATCCCCCTGACCTCCCTCACCCTCCTCACCCTCACCTTTACACCCTCACCTCTCCCTTACTATGACACCTCACCTTCCTCCCTTACCCCTACCTTGACACCCTCACCTTCCTCCCTTACTCTTCCCATGACACCCTCACCTCCCCCACCCTTCCCATGATACCCTCACCCCCACAACACCCTCTAAATAACGACCTCTGATCCTCGATAAGGGCGACGACACGACACCCGCCTCAGCAGAGAGCCTCACCGACCACCCGGGAGATCTGCCTGACGGTGCGGGTTAATTTACGCCACCGTCAGACACCAACACAGGGGCGTGATACCTTTATAGGAGAGAACTAGCTGGCGTTATGTGCCCTCCCCCCCCCCCGTGACTTCCTGGTAGTTATGGTCTTCAGTACACGACACGTTCTTTACACGTCATAATCCCCCGAGGAAAGAGTATGTAATGCGATTTTGGTTTTATCAATGTAAATAAAAAACACACCCTACCCTTCCTTCATCCCTACCTACCTATCCTATCCTTCATTCCTACCCCACCTCTACCTCATCTCCTACCCTACCCTACACCTATCATACACCCCCATTCCTCGCCCTCCACCCATAACCCCCCCCCCTCCACCCTAACCCCCCACCCTCCACCCATAACCCCCCCCCTCCATCCATAACCTC